GAGATTTTTTTACAATCAGAAAGTGAGCTAAATAACATACAAATGTTAGGGAGATTTTTTTACAATCAGAAAGTGAGCTAAATAATGAAAATGTATTAGTGATGTTTTTTAGTATTTTATTTTACACTTTTACATTTCAGCTACACAGCCTGTAGACATTACACAAGCATGACATAAGCAGTAATCACACATGAAATTAACATCTCTTGATGAAAATGTGAATCAGGGGTTCTTGCAAAAAGTCTCCATTTCCTGTATTACATCTATTTTTTTTACTTCTTCCTCTTAAGACATTTTGCAGAGTTATGACTCAGACAGAATATTTTGGGATTCAGTCATCAGCTGGTTTCATAAGTTAAACTAAAACCTTTACAYCAGCAGAGCACAAAAGTCACATTTAAAACAAATATGAATGTTTTCTTTGTTTTTACAAGATGATTGTAAAATGTCATCAAATTCTGCCAAAATCAATACTAAGCTCTACAATCAGCAGTGATCTATAGTTTCACACATAAAAACACCACCAGTGTGAGGAGAATGACTCAGACAGATGAACTTCTGTAAAATATCTGAGCAGCTCGACTGCATGGAGATCTTTCCACCGCCATCTATTCTGCTGCAGGAATAATTTAACGGCTACAACTCATTTAGCGCAGAATCGATCTTTTCCAACTCTCCCCCACCAACATGATTAAGTCTTGAACGACTGATGGTGTCCATTATCGGCGTTAGAGATCTACTGCAGAGCCACCCTACAGTCTTTCCCTACAGGGAAGTAAAACTCAGTACTTTAAATTTAATTTGAGCCTCAGATAGAGAGTTATGATTTGTTGTGGTCTGACTGACACGAAGAACACAGTGACGTTATCAGTCAAGTTTTTTAAATTTGTAATTACCAGAACCTGCCATAAAAAATATGGGTCTTTAGATTGTAAATAATAAATAAATCAGTGCTTGTATTTTGGTACCTGAGTCTCTACAGCTGCTGTTGACAGTCTGGTCTTGACCTGGAAGACAGCCAGAAAGGAAATTGTAAACTGAAGAAACAATCAACGTTTGGTCATCTTTTTCTGTTTTTCCCCCCTCAGCTTTAATTTACAGAGGAGCAATTTCACAGGGTTCGATGGTAAATCTTTTTCTAAAGTTAGCAAAGGAGCGTGATGAATAGCTGCAACGCTCAAGGTGAGGCAATTCTGTGGAAACTGTTCACCTTAATATATCGGCGGTGTTGTTGTGTTTTTATGAAATGGACAGACAGGGAGCAAAGCCAGCATCCTCTGTCCTCAGCTAACACCACCTGTCTCCTTTTTAACTCTACTCGGTCCTGAGATCTGCGCTGCCCCTCTGCACATTATAGCCAAACCTAAAAGCCCTGCGGCATGCTCGTGTGGGTGTGTGTGTGTGTGTATGTGTGTGTGTGTGTTTGTGTGCAAGAATGGGAGAAACACCTGACTCTAATTACAGAAGCTGAGTCTCTCCGAGTGTCCCATCTATGCTTGCCCTCTTTCCCACTCCAACACACACACACACACACACACACACACA